ACTTTTAGCTGCTCTCACTGCTGCAAAGAAAATGTTAGTCAGTTGTGGATTCCTCCACATACGATAAGCAGGCTTGTATGGGGCTTATCTTTGCTGGACATTATTTCCTTGGTACTATCAACAGCTCGCATTCATGGTGCAAAGACTAAAACTTTGAAGACCTGGAGTGCTACTTTTGATATTGTTACATCCTTTGTTTCTTCTTTTTGATGTACAATTTATTTTGTATTTATGTATATTTATGTATATTTAATGTTTATATTATGATTAGGTATTTTACTGTTCACCACTGCAATGTCTTATAATTCCTCAGCACAGTATAAGTCTACCTGGTGTGTGCAGGTGGTGGTCAGGTTGGTGATTACAATCTAATATGTTGTATCTTCTCTATGTTGTACTGCCTACTCAATAAAAATAATTGTTCACAAAAAAAAATTAAGTGTCATCAGTTTGCCAAAAAGAACAGAACATTTTACATACCATTTACACGTGAAACAGAGCAGGTGTACATTTCTTTCGTACCAACTAACAGTTTGAAAATACGAACATTTTCATGAATTCGAAAGTTTACATTATGAACTATTTACACAAAAATTTGTTCTGCTCGTGTTTCATGAATGAGGCCCATTGTGTGTAAATAAACTGCTCAGCTGTTTACACAGTGATTGTGTGAAACATATGTAGCATTATTTAATTAAATAAAAGGAATGTTTTTTGCAAATAAGTCTACTTATATATTGTGGCCAGATTAGCGTCGCCCTGGAAACGCCGCCGCCACACTGATCACTGACGCACAACACCTGTGTGTGACGAGTGGCACACCTGGAGCTTGTTCCCGCTGGCCTTAAAAGCCAGGAGAAGAGACACCAGCGGGAAGGCACCCCGGAGCTCCAGGCGACATTAATGCTTGTTTCTCCTTGTTCACAGACTCCGAAGGCACCTTGGGAGAGGGATCTGCACAAGGCACTTCACCCCACGAGCACCACGCTGAGACGGGCACCAAGCACCATTCATCAGAGCACGTGTGATCAGTGTGGGGTCAATAAATTACCCTCCGGGGGTATTTCGATCAGTACCGAGTCTGTGTTCTCATTCACCCCGCGACAATATATATTACAAATGTCTACTTCAGCAATCTAATCTATTTAGCATGCTGAAAAAATGTTTAAAAGCTTTATAAAAGCTCGTCCAGTTTAAAATGCTGGATAAAAGTGCCGTGTCTGCGCAGTGATGCTGTTTTTCAACCGCCACGCCAGTCAGAAATGCATTACATATTCTGTTTACCTTTATTAACATGTTGTCTCCATTGTTTCGCAGCCAAATATAGTTACCTTGTTAACTAAACGGCGTGGGTCCGCGAGCTAGCATGTTTTTGGCACGTTTTGTTTTACAAATCTATGTTGTCACCTTTGTCAAAAAATCCTAAAGGATTCCAATAAGAAAATTGTACAGGATTCTAATTGTAATTTCTATCATATTTTGGAACTGTTCCTATAGGATTCCGATAGGAATAGTCTTATAGGACAAGACATAAATATCCTGTAGGATCATTCCTATAGGATTTTAATGGGATCCAATTGGGTGACTGTTCATTTCTATATGGAAATTATTTTTTTATTCTAAAGGTGCACTTTTCCACTGTATTTGTTTTACTAACAAATAGTACTTGCAGTTTGTTTAAACTTACCCTGATGTAGACATTGTTCATTGTATGTTGCACAACCTGCAGTAACATTGTAAACGTCTCAGGTTACTTATGTAACCATGGTTCCCTGAGTAGGGAACGAAACACTGCGTCCTCTAGGGGTCGCTATGGGGAATGCCTCGTCGTGACCCGTGTCTGAAGCATACATTGAAAAAACACCAACTCGTTGGCCGGCGACAGCCATGACGTCACTACCGGTGCGACTATAATATAAATAGGCGCCAGGAGCTACACATCATTCACTTCCTGGTCTGAAGCTTGGCAAGAAACCTAGAGGACGCAGTGTCTCGTTCCCTACTCAGGGAACCATGGTTACATAAGTAACCTGAGACGTTCCCTTTCATGGGAACTTCGAACTGCGTCCTCTAGGGGTCGCTATGGGGAACGGTATAGGCTTACCATCTGGACATATATTGACGAGTGAAATACGCACTGCAAGTCAAGCACCTGGTTTCTGAACCCAGCAGAGGGGGTGCTCATCGAGGACCTACCCTAGAAAAGGAACATAAACACACAGGTCCCGGGAAACACTGCAAAGAAAACTAGCAGAAGGGTTATTTTTACACACAACCAGCAGTCTCATTAGATACACATACATCAGACATGGATCGTACTCACCCACCATGGTTCCCGCAAAAATAACGTTCATCGAGATATTTCGCGACGTCACTTTCTTCACTCACTTCACGGCAAGTAAAGCCTCGCCGTGGTGCGATCCATAATTTCTAAAAGGTCATCATACGCAGGGCAGGAGGATTGGGAAGGCTCAGCCTCAGCTTCTTTGCCCTCCTCAGACATTTCCTGCTTTTGCTGGGCTGATCCCAGCAGAGCAATGGCCGCTGAATCAGGCAATGTTAATGAAATAACATCATCCTCCAGCGGCTCACTCTCGTGCACAGCCAACGATCGCAAAAGGGAAACCCCCCTTCAAACTCATCGGCCAGATCCACCTGCGATCCCCACGAGCTCATTCCCTTCCGTGCCTCAGCAGCGGCAGGTCCTGAATCGCGGGAAGCAGATGGCTGCCCCTCTTTCCTCGAAAAGAGAGACAAATTTTTTTTTTCCCTTGGAAAACGCTCGCAGTGCACGCCAATTGCCCCCTCGGAGACATCGCGTGCGTGCTCTTTGCCCAAACAAACAACGCATAGATTGTGTGTGTCATCAGATGTTAAACAACGTCAACACGGATGCACACATCCTTAAATGCTTTGCTAGTGCTCGCCATAATGAGATAAATAGAGATCGCTCTTACCACAGAAATGCACGCTTCAAACAAAACAGTCAATGAAGACGAAGAAGAGAATGATGTGTAGCTCCCGGCGCCTATTTATATTATAGTCGCACCGGTAGTGACGTCATGGCTGTCGCCGGCCAACGGGTTGGTGTTTCTTCAATGTATGCTTCAGACACGGGTCACGACGAGGTGTTCCCCATAGCGACCCCTAGAGGACGCAGTTCGAAGTTCCCATGAAAGGGAACAACATGGGAGGTCATTTGTGCAGCACTGTCAGCACACAGCATTAGTGCAAAAATTTATAAGGCACTGATAATGGATTGATGACACACACACACACAGTATGTAACACTTGCGTCCTCCAATGCAAATATCCACTGGACCAGTTCTAGACTCGAAAGGAGTGAGGAGGAACATCACAACAGTACAATAAAACATCAAACAATATGTAAAATTTGATATCGTAACTCAGTTTAAATTCCCTTTGAGGTGTATAATACTGTTAATTTAATACAATAAATGTAATAAAGTTCAGTTTATGTGTAATGTAAAAAGAGAGAAAAAAAAGATCCAATTCAGTTAAGGGAAAACCGGGAAAAGTATGAAAAATATTGTATCCAACATATTTCAAAACAGTCACTAATGCTCTGTCAATTGACCATATGCACGATTACTTCCTGGTTTTAGAGAAGCCAGCTCAGTCATTCCAGTCAATTGTACAGTGCTGTAAGGGGAGAGCCCTTTGCTCAGTTTCTCTACAAAATCCATTCACAATTTGAAGAAAATTTTTGTTTATCTAAGAGGACCAAACGTCCACGTATACAATTTCAAGAATGACAAACGCGGTTAATCTACTAAATTGTTCTGCAACTCACTGCTATGATTGACAGTGATAACGGAAGATGAGCCAATGTCAAAATAGAGCTGTGCATTAAGTGATTCAGACTAAATTCAGACTAGCAAAACTACAACAGTAACAAGTCTGTGTTGACTGAATATATTTAGCAGCTTTTACAGTTAAAGATAAAACTTAAAAAATGTAGTTACTAAATTAAATAAAATATTTCAAAATATTTAATTCATTATTTAATTGTTATACCATTAATAATTAACTTATTTCATTTGTAGTTAACTTGTTAAGTATTTAAATAATTCTCCCTTATACATGTCACACCCCTGTGGACTGTCGATTGTGGTTTCTCCCTCTGTGTCCTTATTTGGTTGTTCCTGTTCTCATTATCAGTTAATCCCATCATTGTGCTCAGCTGTCTGCCCCTTTTTTGATTTTTGAGCCAAGTGGATTTTGAATACAGCTTCCCAAAGACAAAAAATAGCCAAATAATATTTTTTATATTTCATACAATCACACCGGTGTGATTAGAACGTGCAGTGCGGCACATCATCAGCTGCTAAATTCAAATCTGTGCTTGCGATTTGGATGGCGCTGAGCCAGAAACAGACAAGTTTGTACAGCACTTTTACAGCATTATAACCAATCACACATGATTATGTTGAGCTTATGAATGCAATCAGAGGCATTCAGATGAGTCATTGCTGAAATGCCGGTGTTTTGTTCACTTGCTCGCTGAAGGAATTCTGTTCTCTGGCGATTCTCTCATCAGAAACAACAAAGAGCAGATGTGCGTACGATGTACTGTAAGTAGGATATTCATTTCACAATGTAAATAGCTTCAGTGATTATAAGGAGTTTTTAAGAGTGCCTCAAATGTTCTTTGATAATGTAAATGTTCTTTGCTTTCTTACGGTACATTCTCAAAAAAAAAAAAAGGTACAGTTTTGTACCAAAGAAGATACACAGCGACCATCACAGCCCTACACTTTCACCCAAGGCCAGCTGTATCTCACCCTGCACAAAACTGCTTTTGGATTTAGGTGTTCATGCAAAAATGAGATCAGATGTAATGAATGGTCAGAATGCATCACTCTATACCTAACACTGAAACAAAACAGAGCCCCTAATCTAAAGACACTCATTAAGACCATCAGCTTATGCAGAAATCATATTTCACAGTAACTGGAAGTAGCCAGAGATTTTCTCACCTCAGCTGTGAGATGTGTTGCAGACACTGAAGGAAACTCATCACTTCACTCTCTTCCTCTGAACATCTTCTCAGATCTACTGGTTTCTTCTCTGTCTGGAGCTTCAGCACTTCCAGGAGGACGGAGCTCTTTCTCTCTGAGAGATCTATGAACCATTCATCAGGTGACTGGAAAACTGACTGTAATGCTGGAAGATAACTCCTGCCTGTTTGAGTCTCATAGATCTTCACATGTGAGCAAAGATCCAGCAGAGCATTGCATTTTTCTGGGTCGTATTGTCCTCTCACCTCAAAAAGTTTGCAGTCGCACTGAGATGATTTATGCAAGAATTCTACAAATAATTTGATTTGCTTCAGCGGTTCTTTACAAGTGTTTAACCTGCAACAAAGAAATCAAACATAAGAGCATGTACTGATTGACTTGATTTGTTTTTGTTTTTTTGTAGTTTTTTTTAGGATTATGCCCACCAGACAATGCTAAGACATTTCTAGGGGGATATGGATGCTAATTGCAGCCATCCATGTAACAGGGTAACTCACAATAATAAGACATTTGGGCTGTTAGCAGGCAAATTAAATCAGTATTGACAAACTCCATCTTTGCAATGCAGAGGAAACACAAAAGCTGCATCTGAAGTGGAATTTAGATGTATTTACACAGTTTAATGCAGTATATGAATGCATTTAACATGCAGCTACAAATGCAGAAATAATGTTTTGATATATAAGACATAAAATGCTGAATACTCATTTGAAATTATAAAAAAATAAAAAATACAAAAAAATTATCAAAAGATACTTTAAATATGAAATTAAACCTGCCAGTAGGTGGCAGCAAGTCACTGTTAATAAGTGAGTCATTGCAATTGAACCGAATTATTTAAACGGTTGATTCATTCAGGAATGAAACACCGTCATGTTGCTCAGACGCAAAACTGTGCTATATGGTGGCTGTGTTTGGAATTATTTTTGTTGTCGAAATAGAGCTAAAACAGGCAATCTGGTGTCTAAAATGCAAGTCTCTTAATTAACTTATTTATTGAACTGTTGTAAAAAAAATCTGTATGTAATCATGCTGATTTTTAGAGAAAAAACGGCACTCTTCGTCTGATATTGATTTACTATATGAAATTATATAAATATATAAATTTTTTGCCCCCATATCTTAAATTTTGTGATCATTCTAAATGCATTTTAACAGACTGAATCACGCAGTGAAAGAACGCACACTAAATGTGCACACACACTAGTCTAATCTACTAGACTTCACGGCACTCTGTAGGAGTATTTTGTTTGGTTCTTGCAAAATACTGGTAATGTCAAATCGCACATTGTTAAAACAAAAATTACGATATTATCGCAGACGATATATATCGCATACCCTGCACCACTGTCTTTTTAGCCAATTTGTGAAAACCTTTTGCTAAACTGCCAAAGCTTAATTTTAACCACCAATGCAACGATGCAAGTATTTACCTTACCTCTGCATGCTTGCAAAGGGTTGATGTCGAGATTTTATAAGCTGCTAGTTTGGTCTCCCTAGGCAAACACAGCTTACACCGCATAATAGAGCATAAATATGGCCAGGGGTTCACTTCATTTCCTTCGAGTTCAACTTCAGCAGAATACGACGGGGTTTTGTTTTCAGCTGGGTCTGCACCATAACGCCTGTCTTGTCCGTCTGCATCTTTCTTGTGATTTTATCGCCAGTTTGTTCTCCTGCCCATTATTTACTGCAGTAGTTTCCAGGGAGCGATTTATTTTTTTTATATTTTACTCAGTAATTAATGTGTTTTAAAATGTAGTGAAGTACAATACTTCAAACAAAATATACTTAAGTAAAATTACAGATAAAAAAAATACTTTAAAAAGTAGAAGTGCACAAAATAGCTACTCAATTACAGTAACACAAGTAAATGTAATTTGTTACTTTCCACCTCCGAATTATTGTTATAGTTTACATTCCTGGTGTGAATGCCTTTTATGTGCAAGTGAGGACCACTTCAAGTCAACGATGTGCAAAATTTGCTTACACAACACTGCAGTGTGTTATACTTACTGCATAATAGTTATATAGCTGTTGTGGATGGATCGTAAGGTTTGCTAACTAATTTAGCATTGCATTGACAATACACGGAAATTGAATTGCAGTGGACTGGCAAAATCACAGGCTGGAATAAATTTGGTCAACTGAAATTTAATTAGGAATTTATTCCCTGCAAGCAACAGTGATATAAATGAAGACAGACTATTCATAAGAAGTGAATTGGGTGAAAGTGATGCATTAGAAGAATATAAATAAATACTATACATGTCTTACTTTTTTTTTTGTGCAGTAACTGCATCCTTGAATAGCAGGTATACCTCTTCCTTATATACCTGAAAAATGTAGTGCTCGTCAGGACTAACTTATAGAGAATGTAAGTATAATTAATCATATTGATCTACTGACACACACCATCATGACTAGTGTTAACGTTTAACTGTTATTGTCAGCTAAGGCAAGGCAAGTTTATTTGTATAGCACATTTCATACACAATGGTAATTCAAAGTGCTTTACATAAAAGAAAAGAAAAAAAAATAATCACAACAATAAAACAAGGAATTTAAAAACTTTGAAAATGATTTAAAAAATTGATTTAGGAGGTTTAAAATGAATTTAAGAAAACGATTATACATAAAATATAGTGCAATCAGTTCGGACATCGCACAGTGCTCATTCAATAAATGCACAGCTAAACAGATGAGTTTTGAGTCTAGATTTAAATGTGACTAATGTTTTAGCACATCTGATCTCTTCTGGAAGCTGATTCCAACTGCGGGCGGCATAATAACTAAAAGCAGACTCCCCTTGTTTTGTGTGAACCCTTGGTATTTCTAACTGACTTGATCCTAATGATCTGAGTGGTCTGTTAGGTTTATATTCAGTGAACATATCTGCGATGTATTTAGGTCCTAGGCCATTGAGTGATTCATAAACGAGTAAAAGTACTTTAAAATCAATCCTAAATATAACTGGAAGCCAGTGTAAGGACCTGAGGACTGGTGTAATATGCTCAGATTTTCTGGTTCTAGTCAGAATTCTGGCAGCAGCATTCTGGATGAGCTGCAGCTGTCTAATGGTCTTCTTGGGAAGGCCGGTGAGGAGACCATTACAATAGTCCACCCTGCTGGTGATAAAGGCATGAACAAGTTTCTCCAAGTCTTGACTGGAAACAAAACCTCTAATTCTTGCAATGTTTTTGAGATGATAGTATGCGGATTTAGTTACAGCTTTGACATGACTACTGAAACTAAGGCCTGTCTCCAGAATCACACCAAGATTCCTGACTTGATTTTTAGTTGTTAGACCCCTAGAGTCAAGGTATGCATTCACCTTGAGAACTTCATCTTTGTTTCCAAATGCAATGACTTCAAGTTTTTTCCTTGTTTAACTGAAGAACATTCTTGCACATCCAACTGTTAATTTCATCAATGCATTGGCAGAGGGAGTCAATGGGGCTGTAGTCATTTGGAGATAAGGCTAGGTAAATCTGGGTATCATCTACATAGCTGTGATAGGCAATTTGGTTCTTTCTCATTATTTGACTTAGTGGGAGCATATACAGGCTAAACAAGAGCGGTGCAAGAATTGAGCCTTGTGAGACTCCGCATGTCATGGACGTCCACTTAGACTTATGCTCTCCTATACTCACATAATAACCTCTCCCTTCTAAGTATGACCTGAACCATTTAATTACCATGCCAGAAAGCCCAACCAAGTTTTCCAGTCTCTCTAGTAGTATGTTATGATCGACAGTATCAAACGCAGCACTGAGATCTAGTAGTACCAGCACTGATATTTTGCCAGATTCAGAATTTAAGCAAATATAATTTATTATCTTAATGAGCGCTGTCTCTGTGCTGTGATGCGGTCGGAAACCAGATTGAAAATTGTCCAGGTATCCATTTGAGTTTAAGTATTTGTTCAGCTGATTAAAGACTACCTTTTCAATAATCTTTCCTATAAAAGGAAGGTTTGATATTGGTCTATAGTTGCTCAATATGGTTTTATCAAGATTGCTCTTTTTCAGAAGGGGTTTAACAACTGCAGTTTTCAGGGAGTTTGGAAAAGTCCCAGAAAGAAGTGAGGCGTTCACCACTTCTAAGAGATCTGCTTCCAAACAGTTAAGCACCCTTTTGAAAAAATATGTGGGAAGTGTGTCAAGATAGCAGGTTGATGATTTAAGGTGCTGTACTATTTCTTCCAAAATTTTGCTATCAATTTCTTCAAAAGCGGACATAGTATATTTTTCTTGATATTGTGGTCGAATCTGTCTAACCTCTGCATAACTTGGGGATGTGCTAATCGCCTTCCTGATATTATTGATCTTGTCAGAAAAGAAGGAAGCAAACTCATTGCATTTGCTATCGGAGAGCATTTCACTGGCAATCTGATTTGGGGGGTTTGTCAGTCTCTCAACAGTAGCAAAAAAGAGTGAGAGTGTTGTTTAAGTTACTGTTTATAAGGTTTGAGAAGAATGACTCTCTAGCTTTGCCTAGTTCCACATTGAAAGTACGAAGGCTGTCTTTATATATGCTATAGTGAATTTCAAGTTGTTGTGGCTGCGTGGTGTTATTAGTGTCCTTGTGGGATGTGTCAACCACATGATGACTCGGAAGCTGATATGAAGTCCTGTGGTCACTCATACTATGTCCAGGTGTGTGTGTGCATTCAGGTTGAGTAGCTTGGCACACACTACTGAAGGATGATGGATGGAGAAGTAGATGTTGTCCTTTAGCACTCTTGCACCAAGTTTGTTTAGGTGGAGGCCATCCAGTTTAAACAGTTGTCTATGGCCCCAGAAAAGATTGAAGTTATCGATGAAATTGACTCCTTTTAAGCTGCAGATTCTTTGTAGCCATGTGTTCAGCCCAAGCAAACGTGAAAACATATTAGTTCCTCTTGCTGGGAGTGGCCCACTAATGAACGACTGAACTTTAAGTCTTCAAAGTGTTTCAAAGAGTTCACTGAAGTCCTTCTTAAGGATTTCTGACTGCTCTTTCCGGATATCATTCTTCCCCACATGGATGATGATTCGATTTGCAGGCTTGTGCGTCATTAGAATTTTCCAAAGTTCCTTGTTCAAATCAGAAACTGTTGCTTGAGGAAAGCAGAAAGTTGCTGAATTTCTGCTACTGATGTTTCTGATAATGGAGTCATCCACTATCAGAGTCCTGGGCTCGGCTGCGCTCTGAGCTGAAAGCCGCTGTCTGCTCGACCTTGAGCGTCTGTTAGTAGCGATGTTAGCTGCTGGCTGATCCGATCCATGTTTAATCACATTTGGGGATTCCTCACCCACATTCATTAATGCAGCAAGTAGATTCAACAGGAGGCA